ATTGTTGTATATCTATACCAATTCTGAAAATAAGGGTTTAATTGTTTTTTTATATGCTAATACACTTATTCTAGTTGCTAGAAACATAGCATTCTTTACTTAATTTATATTATTTTTTGTATACAAAAGAATCCCTATGTGGTGAACAAAAGAATCCCTATCTAATTCTGGGATCGCAAAAATATTCGGATATCGCATATGCTTCACAGTTTGGTCGGCCTGTTAAGGCAGCTAGTTTTCGCGATAGCAGTGTTTGTAAACACAAGATGTACGCGCTATCTCATAGATACAATTTCACTTCAAAATTCGCTCATCCTCCACGTATTAGTTGTGAAAATGGAACGTAAAGGTAAACATACGTCGTTCGATGCACATCAACTCGTTATTTGTCATGGTGAAAAAGGAAAATTGTATCGGGAATTCAATTCAATACATTACTAAATTTGAGTAAGAGTACTGTAGCGAAAATTATACGGACGTATAATCGTGAGGATAGAATTGAATCTGTTCCTCAAGTCAGTCGTCCTGAGTTATTCGATGTTCGTGACAAACGTAATATAATTAGAAAAGTGAACAAATTTCGTAGATTAACTGCCCCAAGGTTGACGACGGAATTGCTTGAATAGACCGGAAAGAAAGTTCATTCTGATGCAATTTGTCGAGTGTTCGATGAAAATGGTTCGTGTAGAAAGAGAATGAAATTTTGTTTCTAATTCGTGTTAAATCAAAATCGTGTACAAAAAGTTTGTGTAAAAACAGAATTGGGTGTAGTATGTTCCTAAAGTGTGCTAAAAGAATACTACACTCCAAACATTTTTTGTCCGAAGGATGTCTATTATCTTTATCTTTTTAGGTAAAATCACGTCTGGTTAAGTTCAAGTTTAACAGTAATCTCAAATATCAGAACAATTTAAATTTGATAGATATTCTGCAATAATCAATATAAAAAATGCATGAGTTAATTACAAGTTATTAAAGTTAGTTAATTCATATGAGTTGACCAGGCTTACAGTTTTCATTTCGGAAATTACTTTTATAAATTCAGTAGAAACATTTCATCAATGTACAGTAACCAGTACATAAATCAGTTAACCTTTCACAGTCAGAATGTACGTCACAAAAGCAGGAAATCTTAAGTGGTACTGTATTTCGGATTCAGACAGGTAAATACTTTATTTAGAAATAGAAGAAAAACTATTGAACTTGTAATGGAATGCATAGAAATAAGGAAATTGGTAGAATTACTTTTTCCTCAACCATCAAACGGCAACACATAAAGTGCAGCGCTCTCCACTGCAACCCACAAATATTTCCAGCCGGTTCGTTGGCAATAAAAGAAAAAAATAACGACTAATTTTTCTCGACGTAAACGGAACATTCATCTCGGCGTGGAACAAAAAAGTAGCAAGTCTATCTCCTGAAATATTGTGCGATTTCACGTTGCATGCTTTATCAACGCTGAACAGACGCTCTATTATGCACATCGTATGCGAACCCATCGAGAACGCAGTCAAGTCGCAAAATGCAACTGGTCACGAGTGTATAAATTGCACGGGCGTAGGCGGAACGAAGAAACAACGACCGAATCATGCGAACTCGGCGTAAAATTAGCTGATTTCGTTTCACTTCGCTGAAAACGCGGAACAGCTCGCGTTTCCGATACACAATCGTAAGCTTAAGGGTAGCCTGTTGCTATTTCTCAACCTGCTCCTTACAGTTCATCCATTTTTCCAGTTTTTACCACCGTCGTGTCTAGAACAGACCGCTTCCTTACTGCACAGTATGCGATTACGGGAAGACAATACAATAGTGTCCACCGAAACAATTTGAGACCTTTCTTAACGTTGTAAGGTTTAATGAATTAACTGTAGATGTTATGTGTTTATGACATATGCAAATGTGTAAAACATTCTAAATGAACAAATTCCCAAACGCTTTTTATTTCACCTTTAATTCAATAAACTGCTTAAATAGTAGAATCAATTTTAGTTCAGTTAAGATTTCTATAAAAAATAAAAATGCAATGTAAAAGTCACAATTTGCGTAAGATAAGAAGTAGATTAGTAAACTATGTATGTAATGGAAAATTGTTCTACCATAGATAACAATACTGAAGAAATTATAATCCGGATTAGACTTAGAGAGAAAAGAATACTTTTTAAGGAATGGTCAACACAATGGATATTTCCATAAATCAGTAAGTTTTGCAGGATGTGTATAAATGTATACATTTAACACGAATAAAATTGATCCACCAGTGCAAACGTTTTAGCTTCATGAACAGTGAAAGAATATGAAGAAAAGTTAAGTATTTCGTATTTCATAAAGGTAAGCTGAAATAATATTAACGAACTAAGAATATGGGGGATTCTAAAAAAACTTGACTAAAGAAAGTATTACACGTATTTTCTAAAAAATGTGTACTTAATATTTATATATTCTATGCCGTACACATTAAAACGCATATCAAGATTAACGAGACTGCTTCTTCATAAAAATAATGACGCCTACATTCTGAAGTGGTGCATGTAAGATGAGTAGCATCCATATAAACATCATCACTGCACACGACAATATATTACGCTTGGAATCTTTTAATAATGCAAGTGGTGCACTACCATCTCAGATAACGACATAAAAATGTAACACTAAAAATACGTAACGAAAGCAGCATTCTCTCGGAGTGGATATTGAATTCATTTTAATACATGATCGTAACTAAACTTCTTGTGATGTAAAACTTACATAACTAAAAACCGTAAATTATAGAAAATATTCAGTTTTAGTGTAAGTATCAACACAATATCTACAACTCGAAATCTTTTTAGTAAAACTCATTTTATAACAAACTGAAACATAGTAGATATTTTTTAGTTTTGTTAACAAATAATTTAAGAACGTTGAATCCTGTTTAAAAGTTTAATTATAGGATTATTTGTATTTTTAAATGAATTTAAAACAACTGCTAGCAACGGGTAAAGACGTCTTTTCTAATTTTATTAATCCAAAACGTATTGAAATAAGTAATTCAATATTAGGTATAGCTCTTTAGATTAAAATGGGTCTCATTTTACAGAATGTAATGATTTTCGTTAAAACGAAATTAGGTTAAGAAACTTTTTCAAAAATTCATCATAATTAAATTTTTCCGATCAAACACATTTACATACTCTTTGACACGTGTCTCTACGTTTTTATCTGGAATTTTTAATTAATATTTCAATTAAAAATTTTAATTAATATTTCAGTGGAAGACTATCGATCTCGATATATTCATTTATGCTTACAAAACACGTAATCAATGCAAGGTAATAATCTAATTAATGTAAAGTATGTGTAATGCACATGAGTCATTGTTCCATTTGCTTCTAGCAAATATGAGGAATTTGCATTATGCGCTTGTCTTGTGTTATAATGCCAACGAATTTTATATTCATAGAGTAGTTATTATATATTTAGAAAATTACATTTTCTTTTGACCGTGCATAGGATGTAATCGGGCATAATAATTGGCAATCAGAATATGAAAGGTGTTTTTGCATGAAAATTAGTTTAAAACTAAAAGATGGTGCATTTATATGAATTGTACGTGAAAAAGTCTCATTTTGGACTGGTACAATGTCTGACTGTTATTCGCTTTTTCTACTTGCAGTGATCAGACTTTCATTCATGCGTATAATCCATTAATCCGATTGAACAGTTATTTGGATACGAATAGCACTCATTCAAAAGGAAACAATTTTTGTATTCCCAAAATTAAAATTTACATGTATATAACGAAATTTTAACATCTAGTTTGTTGTCTTTTATTCCCTATTAGTAATTTATTTGGATAATGAACTAGCCCACCTCTACTTCAAAAATAACCATTGATGGTGTTACGGTATTACTTGATATTCACAGACCTTATTCCCTGCAACTACTAGTTTACATCAATTTAATGTGAAATGAAATACCATCATAACATTCGCGATAGCTATCATATAAACTTTAATATAAGCCGTTGAACTTGCAACATTTATTTACTCAAAAGGAAAATGTAATAGAAACAATTTTCTATGGAATTATAGCACGAGTTCCGTGACATCCCGTGTATTAATCTGTGTACATGACATTTCGGTCGAAAATATTCGATGTGTAGAGTACGAACGCACAAGCAGGCCATACAATTAACGTCAATCAATCTGGGAAAACGGTGTACGCCGCACTCGTAATACAAAACCCAATCGACTGTATGGTGCAATGAAATACATTCATTACTATTATAACATCAACAGAAGAAACAAAACTTGAAAACTGTTCTTGAAGGCACTTAATTGTTTTGTTTGAAGATTTTCTAAATTCACATAATTCCAATACATCACGATACTTAATTCATTTAGGCTGAAAGTAACGGTCTATCGATACCCCTATTACATTTTATTATTATATTATTATATAATTTACTCTATTACATAAATGTTATGTACTTGCGAAAGTATTGATCATAACGATTTATCATTACCGCCTTTTATTTCCTGCTGTCGCCAAATTGTAACTGTTTACAAATTAAGATAATACTTAATGGGTAGACGATACTTGTTGAAATACGAAACTACCATCTGTAATAGATTTATATCAACATTTATTTTTTTATTCTTACATTGAAAGCACTTGTGTTAAAAGTAAATTCCAAATATTGTCGGTTGCATCTCTGTAAAACTTTTGATTTTAAGGAAATTCTCTTCAACAGTTACATGTGTATGTAGACGAACATATAGCTAGGCAGTATACATATATAGTCAGACCACCAGCGGAGTAACACAGCTGTACGCGACCGCGGAACGCACAAGTAAGTGCTATAAGAGAGAGGGACCTACGTGATAACACCATATGCGTGCGCAGTGATCCCCTCTTCGCAAAATCGAAGGAGGTCGATGCAGGATCCGAGATCCGAGATCCGAGATCCGAGATCCGAGATCCTCACTCTGTGTCTGGAAGCGTTCCAGTGTAGACGCGTTTTATAATACATAGAGTCCGTTTGGCGCGAAACGGTACGTGCCTGGGAAGTCAAGCCGACTTGGTGCGTGAGGCAAACCGTCCTCACCATCCTCACGCGTACGCGCCTCAAACAGAGGAGTCGTTATTTGCAAACCGCCTGACGGCAGTGTCCATCGGATCTCACTCAATTCTTTTTCTTTCTGGACGCCCAGCACAGTTGTAACAAAATTCATATTCAATTCTAAAAACAAGTATTGTTAACTATTAAATTATAAATTCCACATATTAGATTCATTGATATCATATTAACTCTGTTCATATAAAGTGACGACTCGTTTGAGACGGGTACACGTGAGCGAATCGCTCAAGTTCAGGTTTGTTATTAAATTAATTGTGAGGTTTGCCTCGCGGCCAGGGCTCGGCTTGCCTTCTCACACGAGGGGCTCGCCAAACGTTATTCGTCGAAATAGCAACTGATGGTATCATCTTGAGTCGCGAATTAGGCGCGTCTAGCTCTCTACTTGAACGGTAGGATATACGTACTGGATGTGTGGCGATCCCGTCGTATTATCCGGATTGAGATTCAAGTAGAAGAGTGCGTTTAGTCAGAGCTGAAGCACGACCACCGTTTGATGACCTAACACAGGAAAGAAGTGTGGAACCACATGCGTGTGCACCCACTCTGAAATCTTTTGTGCAGTATTCTTACGAGGGTTTAGTGTGTGTCTCCATCCAAGAAATCAACCCGATTTTATCGGCACGACCATTGGTTGCTGAGACGGACGCCGATCTCTCTAGGCAATCTCGTCTCAATATTCTTGATTATAGCATCATGCGCGTGTACGCGTACGTCCATACGTGATTCATTCCGTGCGTTGAGGACGTCGATTGCCTCCGTCTAAAACCCGCTCTGTGCGTTTCGAGTACAGAAGTTTCAATCAGCGATCATAATTCATTTACCTACGTGAATTATACCGTGTGTTAAAGACGTCGATCGTCTCCGTCTGAAACCCGCATCGCGTGATTAGTACGTAAAAGACTCGATTCGCAATAATCATCCGTAACATCAAGAATCGGCGCCTGTGCCGATATTAACTTCGTAAAGACTGGCACCGTGTATTCGTGTAACACACGCGAAAGATATATATATATATATATATATATATATATATATATAAAGAATATATTTAATTTCTACCAGATTCAACGTACAATTCTCTTGACAACATCCTCATTGCCGCCCTTCCTGTGCCAGAAGGCACGAATCCTGCGTTTCTATCGCCGATAAGAATCACCTTTGGTCGATAGGGATAAGAGTAACCGCCCTTAGATCCGACGTAGCGAGGAAAGTAGATTCAGTCGCGTAAAAATTATAGACAGAGTCAAAATTAACGGTTACATACTCTATACAAGTATATTTTCTTTCTCTGTCCGATTACAAGAAACAAATTTTTCATAGAATTTTAAATATTTCAGTGTTCTTATAAAAATTCTCTGAATTATTTAGCAAGTGCTCCACAGAAACCGTTGATCCTAAATGGTTTAAACAATCGCGAAAAAGTTATTTATTAACATCAGCCTTAATCAACAATAAAAAGAAGTAGCTGCGATTTCTCGTAAAAACCTAATTATGACCATCAAACGGAACGAAGGGACAGAAGGAAAGTGCACAGCTCCCAACACGCTATTGAAACGTTCACTACGATACAGCCATTGTTAAACCGTTAAAATAAGCCGTGAAACATAGACAAATACATACCGAAAGCCGGAACATCACGAAATCTCGGCCGCTATACATATACATATACTCGTCGTTAATCATACATAAATTAGGAACACGAAATGAATACCGAGGGTCTGCTTAATTAAATTTGTGTCATGATGTACGTGCTAGTTATTACAAACTGCCCAGAGGGGGGTATTCCCGTTGAGTAAAATAACGTGTTTATAAGTTCTTCCTCTCTTAATATCTCCTTAGCAGAAGCATCTGGCAGCGTGTTAATTAATTTTCACAGGGATTTAAGCAAAGAGAGAATAGGGGAAAATGAATATTGGAATCTGTCGACGATAGAAGCTTTTATTGTCGATGCGTCGCGATTACGGTGAAATTTTTAACGCAGCAGTAAATAGAAACGAATGTCATTATTATATTTAATTACAGGGAGTTTTCGCAATTAAAGCGTCCCCGTTAATTCTACACGTCGATTCGTCATAAATTGAAACGTGCGAAATATTCACGGGGAAACGTGTCGTTCGTTTTTTAAAGAAAAAAACGTGGCCAGACACATGAAAAAAATTGTGTGGACGCGAGAAAACAGAAATCGATAATATGCAGACACGAAAATAACAAGATGCTCGACGATAAAAGAAACAAGACGGAAAATTTATTCGATTAAATATTTCGCGATGGGATTAATGCAACTCGATCTTTAAGCTAATATACCCGGTAGTTAATCGTGAAATTCCCGCGTATTAAATTAGACGGCTTATTACTTTCGGGTTTCAATGTAATAAGAGAGTTTCCACTTGGTAATCGGGCGTCGCCAAAAGTCGCGTCCCCGGAAGTTTCTCACGGAGCTGTGTGTATGTACAGTGGATATAATTTTGACGATACATTCAAGTTGCACAAGCAATCCCCCATGGGAAGGATGAGGCGGCAAAAAGTACCGACGGGCCGGCGCGGCGCTTTGAAAGTAGCAAGTTTTTAACTTTATCTCGGGCTGCCTACCGGAGATTGCAAATATATGTCGTCTCATTTCCGAGAATCTCGTTAACACGATATTTTCCAGAATTTAATTTAAACGATCTTCGAGGCAGCACGGTATTATCCAGGGATTAAACCGTGTAGTGTATTAAGAGCCCACAATGAAATATACCACAAATTGTTCGAGACTTAATTCAACAGTCTAGAGTTCTCGCGCAAAATACGTTTGATGTATCTTGCGAACTAGGTAACGTCTATAGACACGTAAAATTCAATACAGAAAAAACAAAAATGTTTTAAAACGAATTTACAAGAAAAAAAACTCTTTAGTAACTCACTTACCGTTTTACTGAAATAAATATGTAAAGTGCAATTGAAAATCTTATAATATAATCGAACCGAAAAAATCTTCTTGATGAATAAAAGATATTTATCTGAATTGCAAGTATTCTTGCACTTATCATTCTATTTAGTTAACGACTCGTGGAAACGTTAAACCAATTGCAAATAATACTTTATTAATACCAAACCAAACAATGTATCTGTTTTATGAATCTCAAATATTACAAATATACGATTACACGAAAAGAATATATGCAGAATGTTAAGTAAAACTTCTTCTGTTATTGGTAGCGGCAAATATTTTATATACATAGATCAATTATGATAGTATGTTACAATTACTCGAGTTTACGAAACTTCTCTTATCAGTCAAATCGATTTTTCTTTGTTCCAAATCTTAATTAATCCTTGCTTAACTAAGTCAGTATCTTTTTGAACTCACAATTAAGAAATTTTAATTTCACTAAAATAATAAAGGAACAAGTGGATTTCAAAAAATTCATTATTTAGTAGTATTTTAGCAAAATATGTGTCTTACTATATTTTTATTCGATTTCTGACAAATGTTAAGGAAAATATGACATAGTATTTAAAATGAAATAGTGAACTAGAAACACGCCTTTAAAGATCTGATAGCATCTAAAAATATTAGTAAGGAACCTTGAAACACCGGATGTAATAATGTAATAAAATATAATGTGAACTAAAACGGCAAAAATATGTCTAATTTTAAGAAATAATATCCAAAAATGTATAAAAATGTAATAAATACGATTTGTTATGAAAAACTTTTTAATTGGATCATATGGCACCTATCTGTAGACCTTTGTGAGTTTCTGAACAAGGGTTAATATTAGTAGCGAAATATAAATCAAAACATTCACTCCACACCACTATATTAGATGGTACTCACCGCCCAAATCTGCAAAGAAAATTTCTCGTAGTGCCAGAAATTCCTCCTCGGGTGTAATGTTCCCTCCTCCGAAAGAATCGTTTTCAGGCCAGACTTCTCTGCAAAATGGTTATTTCGTAAAGTTGATTTTTATTTTATAGTATTCTTGCTTTATAGACATAATTGACCAAATTAATTTTTTTCATAGAAAAAGCATAGAATCAATGTTTCATTTATACTTTTCTTTACTATTACGCAAAATATCCACATAATTGTAACAAATAATTATAGAATTATAATTACGAATTGTATTTCTAACATCAATTTTACGAAATCCGAAATAATATGCATAAATAATTAGCAATATAGTGTACTACAAAAAATGAAGCGCGCGAAATGATTCCTACACGTGGGTACGTAAGTAATTAAAATTTAATCAGTATGGTAATGAATGAAATATAAATATGTATGAGCGACATGCAAATACTGTTTTCACTGCAAACGCAGACATCGAAGAACTACTTTGATATGACAAAGAAAAGCTAACAACATGTCTATTTTCGCAGCGTGGCTATTATACGAAATGAAATAAAAAGGGGGCCAAGTACTTCCAGTCATAATAAATTCTTATTAAGAAGTGTAGTGTTCCGCGTAATATATATTTCACTATCTATTCGAGGACCGAGGCACAATAATAAAAATGGAAAAGTTTCCAACATGAAAATTACTTTGCAACTTCAATTACAATGCAAAGAAATTAAAACGAACGAAAAAGTTACGTTTATTTACAGTCAAGTGTATTAGAACACATCATTTGAGATAAAGAATTTTGTATGCGAAATCTTGTGTTAGAGTAGATTAGTAATATACAATACCCATTATCTTATAGAATAATACTAAGTAAGATATGTTACGTCCCGAACGTATTTTCGAATTTTTTGTATGATGTGCCTCGATAATGCATAGCACTGTGGGAACCTTCCTGATAGAGCACTGTGAGGGTTTAAGAATTTTTAAACAAGATCAACCCGTTCGTCGTTGCCGAGATGATCAATACGAAAGTATTGCTGTGGTATGAGTGATATACACTGCGATAAAACTTTGCGAATTCCTGCACTGGAACTGCGTCTCGATAACGCGTAGCGTCTTGGAAACCGTTCTCACTAAACGTGACGGTATCGCGATTATACATATATTATTAATTTAAACTATTGCGTGTCAGTCAGTCTGTATATTAAAATCCGTACATTAAAGTCCGTATATTAAAATCCGTACATTAGGGTCCGTATATTGAAATCCGTACATTAAAGTTCGAATATTAATTTCAGTATATTAACTTCAAAATTATATTACAAACAGGGAAATTGTAAACTACGCATCAGGTATGTGGGATCATGCGACCGTCATAGAATTTTCCCACGAATCAAATAATATGTGCATGCTGCATGTGTCCAAAAGTATGACTGCATTTGCGTCTGTATTTATAATTTCACAATATTGTACAAATTGCAAAATTCAAGTATTCATCAGGAGAAAATAGTAATTGTAATTGGCGTGAAATGTATGTTCGTTGCGTGGCGATCCTATAGTTCGGGTTGGAGATGGACACACATACACACTTACACACTTTTGTTTCTAGCGGTTTGACCAATCACACGTCACCTCGTGCCGAAATCTCGTTCTCATTAGCTAATGAGAAATAATAATGCAGCGTGGGGCTTATCGGAGGGAACCGACTCTCGACACTTCCGACGGCGCGAAGCTGTGACACTCTTCGACAGTTACAATTCATTTTTACTATTTCTTTTACTCAAGACCATATTTCATAGTTTATTTCATACTTTTCGCTTACTAGTAGTACATAAAATTAAAGTGTCTGTGTGTGTGTGTGTGTGTGTGTGTGTGTGTGTGTGCGTGTGTGTGTGTGTTCTCTCCACTCCAGGTTCAGGAGAAACACAGAACAAAACCTAGTATCTAAATTCCGACAACAAAGATACAAAGAGGAGCAAAAATTTCAAATTACAAAAATTTGTATAATTGTATTGGTGAGTTGACTTTACTGTATTCATCTTCTTATTTTTTTTTATGTATTTGTACGAATTCGGAAATAGTAACCTGCAGTAGTCATCTGATTGTGGGATATTACCCTCACTGAAGGCAATCTTAAATCGTAAATTGTATCTTTAAACAGAAAAATTAAAATATAAGTTTTATGTTAGAATATTAATCCGGGTAACTTTGATTTCGAATATTCCAATATTTCCCTTCCCGTAATTCAATTAAATCTAAATAACAGAAAAGGAAAGGTTCCCAGTAAAAGGGCCCATATGGAAGTAGAGCGCTAACGAACCCGGATTGCGGCTTATCGATAGGTAAGTTCAAGATCCAATAATTTCGAAAACAACGAAATAAAGAAATTATTTCTCTAGCTAGAACGCGAAGAAGATCTCTATATCTATATATGTATATCTGATCGTGAGATCAAGCCTACCGCTCGGGCGCACCTCCGTACGTAACAGATGAAACACTAATAGAACTACGTAATATGTATATTCTAGAATAGTTTCTATACTTGTTACTCTTATACGAACATTCCATTTTCCCTTTTTTCTACATCGCACTACAATACTGATTACGATGAATATTTATATATACATTGGGTAATTATTCAGAATAAGAGAGCCATCTCCGACTTCAATAACCTTCAAATATGTTATCAAGGTCATCATTCTGAACAACTTTTTCCTATACATATAATAAGGTAGTCGGTCTCTTTCAGTTTTTGACATACAGATTCACAAAAATATGTTTACCACTATATACATCAAATGTTAAGTATTTGTTAAGATTTCCTCTTAAATTGAAGGTGAATATATACAGTATTTGTGTATTATGAACATATCTATGTTATGCAGTAAAAGCGTTTAGTTAAACGTACATCATTTTCTGGGCACCCAACATTCCACCACCACCATCGACTGTTAACCACGCACCCATCATCACACCAAACGCGAGTTTAGATATTAATTAATATCTGAAACAAAACCAGGAAAAATAATAGAAGAAATGTAAACGAAAAACATGTATATAACACTCTATTAAACGTAAATGCTGTGGAAGAATTATAATAACTTTAAACTAACTTATTTTGCGAATATCTCAAAAACTAAAACAGAACGACTATTATATGCTTAGGAAAAGTTGTTCAGAATGATGACATTTACAACATATTTCAAAGTTATTGAAATCGCAGTGGCTCCCTTATTCTGAATAATTACCTATAGGTACATATTTAAAGTTAAGTGTTCTTCCTTTATTTAAGAAACAAACTTCTAATAGCAAGAAAAAAATACAGTTCGATGTGCATTTTTATAAATAAGTCTTTTCAAAGTATTGAAGAACTTGCATGGACATTCATAAGCTAATGACGACAATCTCTAACAAAAATAGGTAGAAGGATAAAATACTTCTCAGTCCAAGAAACCCTCTGAAAACATCCCGAATACCAGAAGTTTTGAATATTCATAATCTTCGGACTCACAAGAGCGTCATTGAAAATGTACTTCAAAAAGTGGGTCACTTATTATAGAAACAGATTAAAGTAATTAAGTAGAACGACCTTCTTAATGATGTGTTTCGTTGTTCTAAGTATGTTATCTATCCGTGATATGACAGAAAGACGACGAAGGGCAACGAATGGATAAAGGAAGGACAGACAGAGAAGTCCAAATGGCAATCTCCATTGGTATCACAGATGGCTCCCTTGGGCAGGAGAGTCTCACCACGATCTACACCAACATCAAGCTGCTTGCATCAAGTGTCCGCGCCCAGACCCTCCATTCTTCCACCTACCTTCGCTCGACTACCCGTGATCACCAGAGTACAAGCTGTTCCAGAATATCCACAGCAAAGTCACCTCCACGCGAAGAAAATGGAAGATTCTCGAGAAGACGAGGGCATGCACAGCTGCTTCTCAATCCACTTGAATTTCATCGAATTTGTTTCCGAGGTCGGTACCCTGGAACGATGTTCCTCATCGATGCCTCGAGCTAATGTAAATCTTAATTCGTGCAACTTACGAAAAAGATATGCTAATTTTTTTCATCAATCGTAGTTGATGTGGTCGGTATTGAAACAGGAAACAGACTTCTATAGTGGAAAAGTAGTATAATCTTCCTCAGATTATCGGATTGTTTCATTGCGCAATGTAACTAGAATCGACATCATTTTTTTATTTTAATTGGCGAAGTTACTAATATTTCTACAAGGTTCGGACCAACAACTGGTACATCTGGATAGTTTCTGATTTTATGTACAACAATATACGAGAAATGTAAAATAAATTTTGTTTCATGATAAGTCTCGTTTTCGACAAAATGGAGGTTGAAACTTCGTAAGGATAATCTATCCATCTGAATACCATTTTTTCTACTTATCGTAACACTTCTGTATTTATGACAAGTAGAAACAGTAAAGTATAGTCAGACGCATCACCCAATCGTACTTGACCGTGTTCAAATGTTCTCATTTAACTTTCACGAAACTGAAGCTTGGAGTGTGAGTCGAACCTTCGTAGAGGTAAGACGTGTTTACGCGTGAGTGACAGCGAGTGAGAACAGAATATAACAGAAGCAAAAGAGTCAAACCCGTGCCCCCACTGTTCAGCAATTGCACACACAGGAGCGACAGCTCATCAAGTTTCCTAAGACCAAGCAAGAAATTAAAGAAGGGAAGGGAACTGCAGTTGTCTCTGACTACGGAGACACCTGCAGTGATTTCTCTGGAAATATGGCAATACCGACAACAAAAGTCATCCCTTCAACGTCGTATGCAAGAATGGTGCAGCAAGTGCAATACCCGACCAAGGAACAAGCGATAGTTTTGGACTCAATAGAAGGCCTCATAGTGCAGGACTATACAGTGGCGATTGGTAATATAGTCCAACCTATTAATGTACGTTATATCTCTCGAATATCCCACGGACGTGTGTGTGTATACTTGAGCACAAAAGAGATAGCTGACAAGCTTACCGGTAATCGCACTAAGGTAAACATCGGACCGCATACCTTAGAAATCCGACCGCTAATATCAAAATCAAAACGCATCATACTATCCAACG